GCACTAGCAGATATAGTTGCAAAAAGATGACATTTCAAAGGATTCAAAGGCTTTATTTCTCAAAAACCCAATAAAATAATACAATAGACAAAATGGGGAAGGTAAGTTGAAGGAATAAGAAAAATATGTTAATATAATATAGAATAAGATACAAAAACTTCATTGACATTTGACCGAATTGTGTCACAAAGGTGAGTTTTTCGTGAGTTTTGTTTAAGAAAATGTTTTTTTCAAACACAAGGTTGAAAAGTAAAGGTATACATACATTTTTTTACAAACTCATTTATATTCCCGAATACAAGACTACTGTAAGAGATTGTTGATATTTATTTCAAATCTTTCTTCCTCTCTTAAAGGTGGGGTAGGTAAGTTTGAGAAACCGGCTCGAGATACACTTTTTGTTATATTCCATGGAATGCTCTTAACATCCCGATAGCAATGAATATCTTAAGTGCTTTGACAAAAAATCCATAAAAAAATGTCATCTGTGGAAGCCGTAGTACTGTAAAAAGCACGACCAATCATTTTAGCCGGCCCGGCTAAAATAACTGGATGGCCTACCTACCTGTCAGCCTTCCATCTGTGCACAAACTTATCTCGTGCCCTCATTGGTCATGTGCGCGTTCGTGTGTGTTGGAGGAGGGGCTCTATAAGGAAGTGGCAGATTTTCTCCGGTTGTGTATTTTCAAATTCTAGCGATCTCGAGCCGGTTTCTCAAATGTACCTACTCTACCTTTAATCTCATTCTGACAGCCTGAACGATGTGCAGGTGAAGCCGAGAAAGAGAAGCTCCTCCATCAGATATGGGAAGCTCAAAAGGTTTGTAGTCTAACTGGATTCACATTTTTCCCAGCATGCTCTAATGATCCATGTAGTATTTGTTGATAACAAGTCGAAACCACTGTGGCTTTACTTACGGTTCAGATACAAATTGATGAAACTGAAAGCAAAACATGCTAAATACTTTATTCAGATGAGCTAATGAATGCAATGGCAGTACTGTAAGAAATTGCAATTAATTCACATTTAATTTGCTCTGTTTTTCAGGAACCTGGGTCCAGCTCCGAGCAGAACAGTTTATCAGCTGTACTGCACTCAGGGAGCACTGACATAGCTTAATATAAAAACATATCATGAACATTTCAGTTTCTATCCCTACTTTACTTGAATAATACACATTTTTAGGATGGAATTGTCCTTTGTTATGTCAATATAAACATGCTCCCAAGTTCTCATTACCGTAACATATTGCTGCTTGTATGAAGAATTTCACAAATGCCCCCGGGAAACTTAAATAAAGTTTACATTTTGAATGGTATTTTTGTTATTGAATATGTTAAGAAAGCACTGTGGTAAACTTCTAAACTGTCAGAAATTAAATAAAGAAGAATATTTGTATTTGTTTAACCCTCTGTACTTTTGTTTGTGACCCCAGCTGCTGTTGAACAGCATTCACACTAATGACAAGACAAACAAAGTTAGCCTTACATATCTTTTTATTTTTCACCATTAGAATCATTTTATCCAGACTTTGTTAACAAATGTGGTCCTTAAAGAACAGATAAGCAGGTACAAAATATTAAACATAACACAGGAGAGAAACATTTTTAGTGGAGAAAGGGAATTAATTCAGCGTTTTTCTCTGATATTCACCGGGATGTGGATGATAAAGGAAACAACATAAGGAGCCTTGACGCACTAATTTAATTGACCGCAGTCGGCAATGGCAACCTTGACCTTAGGAGTGCCGCTCTTTGTGCCTTGCTTCTCCATTGCCTTGACAACATCGACGCCCTCCACAACACTTCCAAACACCACGTGCTTCCCGTTCAGCCTGAGAGGAGAGAAGCTCATTAGTATGCGAGACGGTCATGGGAAACAGTTTGAATAAACCTGAATGCAGCAGCACATGGCTGAGAGGGGAGCTCACCAGTCAGTTTTGTCCGTGCAGATGAAGAACTGGGACCCGTTGGTGTTCGGCCCAGCATTCGCCATGGACAGTGTGCCCATGCCCTGATGCTTCAACTGGAAGTTCTCGTCACCAAACTTCTCCCCGTAGATGGATTTGCCTCCAGTTCCATCGTGGTTAGTGAAGTCTCCCCCCTGAAATAAATAGTTCGCTCAGCAGTCAAAAGAGTTGAATCTGAGCTTGTTTTAAAAATACAAAGACACACACATTTCTAGCCTATACTGTACCTGGCACATGAATTTAGGGATGAGGCGGTGAAATGTGGAGCCCTTGTAACCGAAGCCTTTCTCCCCGGTGCAGAGAGCACGGAAGTTTTCTGTGAAATGGAGACACTTCAGTAAGTACACACCACATTTCTGTATTTTAGTTTGTGTAGCATCTCTCTGCGGTTGTTTAGTGTCCCTTTGAGTCTCTTTTTGGTTGCTTTGCCTCTCTTCTAGTTTGTTTATGGTAATTTCTTGTGGTAATTCTTGTGTCTTTGTGATCATTTTTTTTCTGTCTGGTGATTTGTCTTTTTTAGTAAGTAGTAATTTGCATATCTTTGAGGACATCTGACTCCTTTCCAAAGCTTCCTGTCACAGCAGATCTATTGACGCTACTTTGCACAGATTATTATTCTGAATCCTACAGTATAATAACACCCCCCCAGACATTAAGAGGGCCTTGCAGAAAATAAAATAAATGTCTGGAGCTGGCCCTCAGGATCCTGCTTATGAGGATATAACATTAAAGTGCATTTGAGTCACTTAACAGCACTGTATGACAGAGGAAGCATATAGGCAATTTCTATGTATGAATGAGGTCAAATAAACAATGGCTACAGTATGCGGGTCAAAATGGGTTAGTCATTAATGCATCCTGCAGGTTTCCATGTTGGGAGTTGAGACAGAGCAACCAATAGGCTGCCATCATCCACCAGGAGGTAAAACAAATCAATGCGAATTACAGCAAACAAGAGTAATTTCCCCTTTCCTCTTCCCCTTATATTTATAGTGTGAGAGCACCTGGTAGCATACATTCTTGAATCAATGTTTACACTCACATTCAGCTCTATAAATAGCTACGCAGGCTCTTCAGATTCATACAATGAATCACCCACAGCCACAACCCATATTCAGAATAAACAGCTGTGGATTAATGTGGACCAGTACTTTCCCCAACCAAACAAATCCATTTTCGGTGTGTGAAAAAGCAGGAGCAGTGTTTATTGCTGCTTGAAGTGATGTTAGAGCTTCCTGCCTGCCTTTAAATCGTACATACCTGCAGTCTTTGGGACCGCATCCGTTCGCAGCTGCAAAACACAAACCGTTTCAAATGAGTGGGTGGCAGTTGAACACAAAATGCATAGAATGAAAATAAACTAAACCTCTCGAAGAAAGCTCAACATGTCTGACAACAGCAGCAACTACAGGCAAGTGGCTTGTTCAAACAACTGCAGGATTTTTGGCTTAAAGTTGAAATGAGTCATTTAGGATTTTGCGTGTTTAGGGGTGCCAAAAAAAAAATTAAATTTCACATAATCTTCTCAAATATCGTTTTGTTTAACTACCGTCATCAAACATTGAACATTTGTTGTAATATTTTATTAAATATTTTGCATTATTCCATAAATATATCAGATCATATAACACAAGACAAAGCAATATATTCTTACATTTACGGAGGTTAAAACCAGAGACTGTTTGGCACTTCACTTTAAATATGAACAATATGTTGATTTTCACAAGGGTTGATTTTCGGTCCATCCATTAATACATTACTTCACTTATCATTTCAACTCGCATTGTGTTTTTTAAGACACATCAGAGAAGATTCATCCCCCTTTATCTGCCTGATCTGCCCATCAGACAGCAGCACCACCATTTGTTACACCCAGCTGTGCTGCTGGGCGTTTCCATCAGGATATGGTCTCTCTGGAGGACTGTTTATGATGTAATTGATGTTATCTGTGCGAAGGCAATACATAAAACAAATATATACAGCCTGTAAATGCAAATTGCGACCAAAATGGAATCCTAAAAGATGCATGAGAAAAGTTGACGCACTACAATATGTCAGTCATTTCTCCAGGCCCTTCAAAGCACACAGATGGATGCAAGAGATATAGGCTACTTGTCATCAATTTAAACCTTAATATAATGACGTTTTAAAGATAGTGACGAATGTTAATGTCTGTGTTCTTACCTCCATTATAATCCTCCCAGCGTTAGCTCCATCAATAGTGATGTCGAAGAAAACCTTGGGGTTCATCATGTTGATGAACGCTTGTGATAGAGTTGATGGGAATACGCACTTGAATTACTACCCGTCGAAGCGCCAGTACACTCTGTCTTTTTAGGTCGGGTCTGTGCACCAGTGACGTAAAGGATTACAGCCAATCACAGCCTTTTCTGCTGAAAGACTGCAGAACGGACCAATAGGAATGAAGAGGGGCGGGGTTAGTGTGATGCCGCATGAGATGGGGAGAAAGATGGGCCTCTGTGGTGAAAATCAGCAAATTGAATGCACCCGTGTGCAAAGGTGTGTCCAGTTAATTCATTAATTGTAAAACATGTTGACCCCGTTTGTTTCTTCTTATGCAACACGTGTAAAAAGCCAGCTCCTCTTTTAGGGACTGTTCCTGAAGTAACACTTTTTGATATGACCCCTTTGGCAGTCCTGTTTTAAAACAGAAAATGTGATAATCCAACTCAAAATTTGTTTTTTGGGTGATGTAATGTCTCAAAAGAAAAATGTATGTCAACAATCTTATTAGCAAAATATCATAACTTACTATGTGAAAAGTTTTTTTTTTGTTGCAATTTAATGTTAAATATCAATCTGAAAGTAACTATAATCATAGATAATAAATGTATGTAAAGGGTGCAATAGGTCCCTCGCAAATAATAGGGGTGAAATAAAAGTAAAGAACAAGAACCTCGCAGTTATATGAAGTAGCATTTTATGCAACAGTATTGGATATAAATAAAAATGACAACCACTTCAAAGGCTACTATAAAAATAAGAAAGCCTCCAAAACAAACCATTTTTGTCAGATAAAGTGATTTTTAATTCTGATTCTGAGATTCAGGAAAGGGACAAGGTAACTGTAGGTACAATGACGATTATGATTAAAAAATAAATAGAAAATAATGGCAATTACAATGTGTTACAAAATATGTGGAATAGTTTACATATTAAAAAAACATTTTTTCTAGCAAATTTGCAGTTAAATAGTCCATAGTTTCCAAATATAACATTATTGGCTTTCTCAATTGGCAATGAACATTAGTTCTTGTTGCCTTGTTGGACCACAAAGGGTGAGATCATTCATAGAAAAAAACATCAGCTTTAAAAAGTGTTAATAAGAATAATTTCTTCCGCTGCATCTTTAACTGCATTACTCAATGTCAGCTGACTGTTTTCTGTCATACATGCATTAGTACGACCTTTTTACAATTGCTTTATAATCTTCTAACATACAGTATGTATACAGTGCCAACAATGATCCATTATCCAACTAAATAACATTACAATTACCATGATTAACAATTCATTTGATACACACACGTTCTCTAATGAAAACAGCTGATTATACAGTACATAAACCCGTGTCATGATGGGTTATACATGTGAAACCATTTTAAAACATACTAGCTTTCAAATGGCAGAAAATGCCACGACACACAGCTGTACTCATTTACAGATGCTTGAAAAACCCTTCATAGGAAGGTGAAAACAAACCGAGGGAAAGATGGGAGCTTTAATATATTTCACAGTGCTGAAGGATGTCAGAGATACAATGAACCTCAGCCTGCTCCCAAACTTCATGAATTAAAAAAAGGTCTATTTTACATCTGGGCCCCGCCTTCATAGGCTGGGCTTAGTTTGTCCTTAGGTGAGGAGGCCCCTCGGATCTTTTCTTTTACTCTGCCATCGGACTGAACACAAAGAAACAAAAAAAGTGACCACTGCCCTTATCTTACATCATTGTGAATAAAGTCTGGTGATGCACTGTATTTCCTTATTGTCAATAAACCCCAAATCAACAGAAATGATATCTACTAACAAGTATTGTGTGTGTATTAAAGCTCGATACACCTTGGTATGTGCCATAGAGCTCGATTGTTGTCCAAAAACACCCGAATACTCACAGAGACCCAAATGTGGATACATGTGCCGCTGAAAATAGTCCCTCACAAATGCCTTATTTCCTGCATTGTATTTGATTACCAGCTGTTTGAAGAAATAACTTAGCTTTTTTAAAACATAAAAATATAGATGTTTTTGTGTTTTACTGATTTTTGCAGTCCTTGAATTGCATTGACAATTAAGGATCCGTTTCTCAAGATCTGCACCACAGACAGGAAGTCATTTAGTATTGAAAGATGGATTCATATAATGTTGGTTCTTTTCATGGGAGTCGTTGACAATACGAAAAGTAAAGAATATCACAAGCTTTAACCCTTAATGCAGTGGTCCCCAACGCGGTAGAGGGTTGGAGGGGTTTACTGCTGTTCAATATATATTGAGGAAGGATTTTACAACTCTGGAAACTGTCATCTCAAAGAAAACAGTTGAAATCCGGTTGTTGAGCTACAAAGTAATTGACCAGGAATGTGCGTGTGTGCAAAATAGCGACAGAAACATTTGGGAACCACTGTATTAATGCGTCCTATAACTCCTTATAAACACACCCTATCTTCCATTATCCTCCACTTCTAACTATTACAATCTATGAATTAAATACTGTATATTTAAATCCTTCACCCTGTGGTTTGTGCTATAGTTTAAAATGCTGGTCTGCAGAGTCAGTGCCTACAGTTTTTACTGTTATATTCCTCATGAAAGACAGTGATCACATGTGAAGCGTGTTCCCTCCGGTTCCTGTATACTGCAATGAATGAATTTACAGCAGGACACTTAAAAAAAAGATACACAAAAACGCAATCATGTACACACTCGCACACACTCACACATTTATGCACACTCACACACACCCGCACACACACACACACACACACAGAAGAGGGCGCCCATAGAGACAGTGCTGGCTTTAGCCAATGAGGGCCGGGCTACAGCACCGTGGGAAGCAGAGGCTGGAAGATGAATGGAGGGGGTCAGTTGTTCTCAAAGAGAGAGAGCAGGTCATCACTGCTGTTGTTGGGAAGGTCGGGGGGGCCCAGGTAGGACAGCAGCTCGTCCGGGTTGGTCAGCTCAGGAAGAAGCTAAGGACAAATGAAAGTTTTCCCTTAAGTCAGAGTTTAGGTTTTCTTAAAATATACCTGTTGCATAAAATATAAAACAAAAAAGGTCAAATGTTCTACTTAAGGTTTCCTTAAAATGTTCACATAATTACTCAAGGTTTCCTCCCTTGTGCTCTCTACTTAAGGAATTAATATCTCATTATTATTTAAAATGTTAGCAACCAAAGTAAGGAAACAAACTTTCTTTAGGGTGCTTAAAATGCTTTAAAGAGACAACTTGGAAGTAAAAATGGTATTGGTAGTGGTATTTTCATATGGAAGTCGAAGGGTGAATTGCAACTCTTAAGTTTTCTCATGTTTAATTACATGTATGTTCCGTGCAGTATACAGTATACAAGCTGATGAATATTGGCGCTGAACCTACAGAAGAATAAAGCTACATTTTAGTCCTGTGAAAGGGCCAGTTTGTGCTCTTAAATAACTGAACAGGTGGGTCGACTCACGTCTAGTGCATGGTCGGCCGCGTCCCCCCCGGGGGCTCCAGGGCCTCCCAGAACGAAGGGGCCTTCGTTCTGCAGCCGGGAATTCTGGGTGTTGATGTTCCGCTGCGACAGTGGACTGCCGGCGTCTCCGAGACTCTGGTTTCCATGGACACCTGAGCTGTGCTGCTGCAGGATGTTATGGCCGTGTTCCATTCGTCCAGGATGAGACGTCTGAGAGAGAAAGAAGGAAGAGACGAAAAGACTATCTTTAATTTATGGTAATAAAAACATCAACAAGATGATGCTATTAGGCACATTAAATTCAAACACTATGCTTTTGATAGATTGAAACCTTTTGTTTCTTTCTTTAGAACAACAGAAGGGTGTGACAGTAAAGGAGCATGTCTTCATTGTTCTCTCTCTGAAAACCTTCAGCAGACAGCTGAACAGCTGACAGCGACAGGTGGTATGTGGTGTAGATGCTCGATATGTAATCAAATATATTCTCAGTCTATGCTGTCTACTTCAGGTTTAGATAAAGGCTCTTAACTAAACTCACAAGCCAGAAGGACGAGACAGTCCGTGTTGGTGACAGCAGCACAATATCAGGCCCTTTCAACTGAACAGCTCCAGGTACTGAAGGACTGAAAGTCCCTGACTGGTGTATTCTGTGTTTCTGCAACATCTGAACGTGTTTGGAAATAATTAAGTAGTAATACTGTTGTTCTTTGTATTACATGCAGAGACTCTGATGTTTAAATGGATGTGATGAATGACATGTAGAGGGTCCCTCCCCAAGGTAGATCCTCTGCTGATTGTTTTTAACTTTATAATTCAGTTTTACAAATAAGCAAATTAAGTTTGAATATCTTGGCATTCTCTCGTTGCTCTAGACTAGATCACACAGTCTTTCTGTGAAAGTGTTAAGGCAGCAGTGTCCTGTTGTCATACTTTTCCAGCCTTTTCCGATGATTCATATTTAGTATGATGAAAGACCCACATCAACAATGTGTTAGCCCATGGGTTCCTGCTAAAGATGTAAACACACACATTTATCGTGTCAAAAAGGAGGAAATTGTTTATTTTTTGGATTATATTTTTTCAGCGTTGGATTAATCCTCATTTGATGCTCTGGTGAATATTTGGGTCAGCAGGATGTTGTATGTGGGGTCAAAAATAATAGTTTTTGGACAACAATGGCGCTCTTTGGCACAGAGGAAGAAGACTTATCGGGCGTTAACACACACACACACACACAATACTTGTTGGAAGCTACATTAACTATTGGTTATGGGATTTATTGAGAATAAGACAAAAATAGAATAACCTGATTTGCTCTTCTACCTCTACTGGTTGAAAAACCCCATTTGAACTGTGACATGATTTCAGTTACATAACAGATACCTCCTACTGTGGGTCTGTATGTGAGGGGAGCGCAGTGCCTTCAGGCTGGGGTCTATTCATACTCTGTTTGTCATTGTTGCCTACTCGACCATTAAGGAAAACGCAGCGAGTGAACTGAACAGGAAAAAGACAGTGATCCTCATAGCAGTGGCCAAAGGCTATGTCGAGGAAAAGGGACAGGAACATGCTGCATGTGTGTTTGCTTCTACATACGGTATGTTGTGTCAGAAAGGGGTGTTGAAGTAGAAGGAGTCTGACCTGCTCCGACTGATAGGGGAGGGGAGGTCCGGAGGAGGAGTACTCTCCCAGTGTCGGGGTGCCGGGAGTGTTGGGGAAGTCTGAGAAGCCTCCTTGGCCGGAGAATCCCTGGCTCCCTACCAAAACAAATCAAAACTATTACTTACAAACAGAGAAGCATTGGTCTTTGTCGCCGTCGGTCATTTTGATGGACATAGCGGTAAATATTCTGTCACAATCGATTATAACCTGTAACTTTAATTGTAATCTTTTAATGATGAATAGACTGACTTAATAATTTCATTTTCGTTCATTTTTGAATAATTTATAAACAGAACAAGCTTATGGATTATGCTAAGGCCATGGATGGACACAACATGTAGCAGATGAAGGATCTGCGATACTCTTTGCTCTGCTGCTTGAAATATTCTTCTGGGTCACCTCCCATCTAAGGGCAGATGATCTGAGCTATGAAGCATGATTTTGTTCAGTATGTGTATATAGAGAAAACAGAGATTGTATACTGTACCAGTCAAAGGTAAACATTTACTAGGTTTAAAAAAATATATCTACAACTTAAAACTAGGTTAATAAGTTATTATTATTTATAGGTTTTGTTTTTCACGGTTGACTTAAGATTGAATTGACATGATAACTTATAACAGACAGAGTGAGTTGTTTAACAGCTGACAGAGTGACAGTAACAGCTGTAGCCTCAAACATTGTCTCATAATTATCTCCATGATATTGAATGCCTGTCATTTAAATCATAGACCAGTTTCAATCAGACAGATCCCTTTTTAGAATCTAACGTCATATCAATGTTCCCCTCTTTATTTCTGTCACAGAGAACAGCTCTACAGTCATTTTCAGCGTATTCAAATGTTCTCATTTTGGGTTCACTAACACAATAACTGTCTCCGCTGCATTCCATCGTCTGATGATAACCAACAGCAGGAGTTGAAGCTCCACAAACAGAGGAACAGGTTGCTTTGTGTGGTATTTTTGGAGGCGTTAATGATGCTGATGATTAAATGTCCAAAACATCCAGCTCCTTTTGAACAGTTTTCTTTCATCTTGTTGAAATAAGTAATATAAGCCACACCTGTTTGTGCAGTAAATACAGTTTGATCATTAAGAAACAAATCAAAGAATAAACTACATTTTATTTACATACACATGGGATATTTTTCTAAATGAAGTACATCTTCGCCTAGTGTTCTTCTAACTTTTACTAAGTTACATTTTCAATGCTTGACATTTCCTTGTTACATTGTGTTTACAGTGTGGTATTCATATTTCCCTCCACCACTGACTTTCACTCCTCTCTGCTGACCCTACCTGGCCGGTTGTAGTCGGGGGTGTTCCTGCCCCCTGCAGACAGACTGTGGTAGGGGGACGACGCGGGGCCCAGAGCGGCGATCATCTCCATCACGTTAGGCAGCACCATGTGACTCGGGCTGACGGTCCGGCAGCGCTTCAGCACCGGGCCGTCCGGCTCCTCCTTTATGTGCAGGTCTGGTTTTACAGGCACCGGCCTCCAGCCACACACCGGGTCTATGGTGATCTCCTCATACTCTGAGCTGAGGGAGTAGGGTATGGAGGTTTATTAAGATACTTGATAAACATACACATAATTCAAGGAGATGCACTAGTTACAATTATGTTTTTAAAGTCTGAGCTGCTGATTCCAATTTGTCTTTCTTTCCAAGGAACTATAAACGACTTAATACACAAACATTTTCTAACCATTTTCTCTTCCATTAGCAGCCTTCTATCATAGCATCTCTAGTTGTTCACATACAAAACACAAATAAGCACTCACTTCTGGATGTAGACGAGAATCCCGAGCATGTACTGGTCCACCTCCAGTCCTTCTAGCAAAGCTGATTTACTGTTAGACCAAAGGAAAAAGTGTTGGTTACATTTAATTGTGAGAAGATTCCAAAAAGGTGCAATGGGTGCTTCTTTGCGTACTTGCACACAGGACATCTCCAGGTCCCTCTTTCACAATTAAGCTGCAAATAGGACTCCAGGTCGAAACACTGAAAAATAAAGGAAATCAATATAAGAGAACATATTAGCAAGTCATTTTAATTTGTCTTTGTGTGTGTGTGTGTAGGTGGGCCTGTGTGTGTGTGTGTGTGTGTGTGTGTGTGTGTGTGTGTGTGTGTGTGTGTGTGTGTGTGTGTGTGTGTGTGTGTGTGTGTGTGTGTGTGACCCCCACCTGTATGTGTCTGCAGTCGTGCCCCCTGGCTGGCAGCTGGATTCGTCTGAACGTGATCGGACATTTGAGTGAAACTTTGATTGCCGTCTGCTCTACGCCGTCCTCTCCGTTCAAACCAGGGGTCCCGGGGATCGTACCGCTACTGAAATTTCTCTTTACTGAAACAAGAAGACAATTAAGAAAAGCAAAATTACTTTCTAGATCGATTAATAACTTATATCAGTCAGTTTATTTGCTATCAACGAATACAAATAAGTTTACTTTTCAGTATTGACTTTCTTTATAAGCAAAAGTGTTATAATTTAGGTTTACAGGGAGACCGAACAACCCTCAAACAAACCAAAGAGGTTGCAGGACATGTGAGCCTGCTGGTGTACACACACTCTCTAGATTTGTAGGGTGGTTGAAGAACTAGGAAGGCGTTTCACTCAAAACTCCAAAAATATTCTGCATTCAAAATCTTGTAGTAAATGTGGGTAAGTTTCAAGGTAATGAACTTAGTTACTTTCCAACACTAGACACAGAACCACTAGGTTAAGCTAAAAAAAAACATAATCAGCCGCTGTTGTGCACTAGAGATGGCAAATCCGGATCCTTTTACGGACTCGGAGTCTTCTGAGTCAGTCATTGAAGAGATCCGGATCATACGAGTCCTTTAAGTCATATGAGTCAGCATCACCAAGAGCGTAGAAATCCTACCGGTGAAACCGAAAAGTTGTTGCATTTCACGAGCATATTAAACTAACGTTACATTAACCTCCGCTACACAGTGTCTTTTGCTTTAATAAAAAATGTTGATCACAAAAAAAAAGGGTTATTTAGCGATTTGGCGAATCTGAGTCTGCTGTTGACTCGTGCATGAGGACGAGTCTGCTGGATCTCTGGATCTGCTGCTATACGGTTACGGCTCTGAGTCCGCACGAGTCTGCTATGTTTTGCACAGTGAGTTAGGATTTGCGAATCTCTGAGTCTGCTGTTGACTCGTACACAATAGCCGCGGGAAGTAGGGGTGCTGGAGGCGGGGCTGCGAATGGTGTACATTTGAAAAACTTCATGTTACTGTTGTTGAAATCTCTCCCCACTTTTGTCCGCACCCCCTAAATAAAATGACTTCCCAGTTCCCGCGGCTATGTTCGTGCATGACGAGTCTGGATCTCTGGATCTGCTATACGGTTACGGCTCTGAGTCCCCACGAGTCTGCAGGAAGTGAAGGAAGTTCCCTTGATTCAGTGAGTCAGGATTTGCGAATCTGAGTCTGCTGTTGACTCGTGCATGATGAGTCTGCCTGGATCTCTGGATCTCTGGATCTGCTACTGTTACGGCTCTGAGTCCGCAGGAAGTTTCACTGATCCGCGTCCACTCCCCTGAGCCAAACGATAACTTCTGGCAGCTATCCTACTTGCTAAAGGCTAGGCAGATGGACTGGGGTACGTTGTAATGTGATTTTACATGTTATAAGGAGAGTAGCGAGTAACGCAATTTATAGTTTTAATTTGTACGTCACCAGGTGTAGGACTCAAAGGACTCGGGTTAATCGAGAGGGGAGACTCGTCACGACCAGCTCATTACTAGGATCCGGGTTAATGAACCGGATGAATCAGGACTCACCCATCTCTATTGTGCACCATAATGCTTTAAATCTAAAGCGAGCTGGATCTGAACTCACTCTTGGTGATGCAGTGCTCGGCAGGCAGGAGTCTCTTCTTCATCAAACCCTGCAGGACAGACCTGACGGACGGCCGGTGGACCAACTGTAACACAAACAGGTGCGACTGGAAAGAGAAAAGGGTGGGTTAAAAATGGGATTAGATGTTTAATGTAAGAAATATGAACGTGTGGGAATATGGGAACCAAACGCTGGGACAGGAAGTTGTCATTTTCAGGGTACTTACACAGCAGCAGGCGGTTACTGTGATCTGCACTGTGTTACGTCCCGGTTGACACACCGTCTTCAGGTACAAGGGCTTGTGGGAGGTTTTGTTGTCCCCTCTTTCAATGCACAGAGGAGTTGCATTGACACTGACCTAATACAGATGAAAAAAGTATATTATTATATTTATTTAATGATGTTTAGCCTTGTTTGACAGCAGAATCCAACAATAATACAAGTTGCACGGTATTGAAGTTCAACAATCAAAAATAGCATCCTGGTGGTATGAAATCTCTACAATGAATACAAGTGATACTTTATTTGAGTAATTTAGATAAAAACCAGGGAAATAAAGCCAAAGCTCTAAAATGACCATAGTTACCCTTTAAGAAAGAGTGCCGTATCATGACTTAACTAATAAAGAAAGGCTGATGATGCTCACTTGAACGGATGCAGGCCAGTTTGTATTCATCTGTCGGTCCTCGTGGTGGTAGCATTTAAACTGCAACTCCAGGTCCGGCCTGCAGGGGGCAACACAACACTACCATCAGGGGAGACTGGGTGGGGTTATCAAACATTCCTCATTTGTTTTTTCTTCATGTCTCTTAGAAATCCTTCAGTTAGAAAAACTGAGAGCTCTGAATTCACACTGAAGCCACATATCACGTCACAAATAGAGTCGTATTTATTTTTTAAGGTAAACACCACATATTTATCTTGTATTCGCAGTAACTTCGGCTCATCAGAGAGTAGAAGACTTTGAAGATATTATTTCAATATTATTATGATATACTATTTCATTTGAATATAAAACCCATGAGATGTTTCTTTAAACGGGAGCAGTGCTGCACACAGACTGGACATTCATAGATGTTTCAAAATAAAACTATAAATAATAGTACCTCAACATGAGTGTTTTGTACACAGAGTCTCTCAGCTGGAAGGCGTGGTTACTGACGGCCAGGTTGTGCTCCAGTCTGAACGGCTCCAACACGACGCCGTCTCGTACCGGGAACGTCAGACGCAGGTCGTCACTCGGGTTACCTGGAATGAAAAAGCCAATGTGGTTTATGATTAACTTGCATACATTTCAACAAAAAGCTGCAGACGGTGAGGGGTGGAAATGCAGATTTTAATGTGTAAAGGCCCTTTTAGTTAAGTCATTATGCTTCTCAAAACTATTTGGTCAAAATAGGTATATTAAAAGGATCTTTTACTGTTACACTGATTACGTGTATGTACTCTAAAATAACAACAGGTTAGTCATAGAAACAAGCTAATGCTTTGTGTTGCTCAACAATGATTGCTCAATAATGATTGAGCAACACATTCACATGCACTACATTAACCTGGTAAATCTGTATTCATCTCAGGTCAATGACAAGTATTTTCCTCTACCCTGAACATAATGTTATTTTATTAACAATCTGTTTATAGCCAGACCTCGGAAAAAAGTTTGGACTTTCCGATTTAATTCATTTTAAGTACAAAGATACATATATTTGTGACATTTCTTTTTTCAGCTCTGTAGGTAATTTCCCTGCCTGCAGTGTTTGTCTTGCTCTAACGTGCATCTAATAAGCTTAAAAGCTGGATGTGGGGTCTCACCTGTAGAGATCTGCTGGGCGTTTATGTTGGGTTTGATGTCCGGTGGGAGGTAGGGGGGTTTTGTGTCCTGGCCCGGGGACAGGTATGGAGGTATTGACGTCCCGGGTGTCATGGGAGGCGTGGGATTCCCTCCCATGGGAGAGCTGGGATATCCGGGCATCACTCCACCCCGACCTGGCTGAGGGACGAGGATGAAAACGAGTGCTTAGAACTTCAGTGTTTCTCATTAAAAGCCATCGTCAAACTGTTTATTTCTCTGTGTTAGAACTCAGTCCTATAATGGGATTAAGAAGAGTGCATTTATGGCTTACCCCGTTGACTGCAGCCTGTGTGAAGGCATTGTATCCTCCTGCTCCTCCAGATGGCAGGCTGCCCTGACCATTGAATGGCTCCGACTGGAGAACAGACATGAAACATGAAACTCAGCTAATGATCGCTCTCTCTGGACCCCAAAGAGTCCAACAGTGCTGACAAAATTAGATCTGTGTGCTGGAAGCTTTCAACAACTTGCTTTTAATAATGTGATCAAACATCACCAGGTCAGGTGGAAATAGGACTTACACCAACAATTCTTTTCTCAATGAAAAATGTATTTAAAATTATTTTTTTCTGTTTTACTGTCCTGCCTGTCCAAATCTTTATCATTAGCAAACTGTGAACTATTTAGAAAAATATGTTTTATAAACAAATCTTAAAGGAGAGGTGTCGTGGCCATTTCTACTGATCATAATTCCATTGTTGAGGTATACTAAAATAGATATATTGTGCATTTTTCCAAACTCACATTGGTTTCTCATACAGCATCTCTGTAAACTACGTCTATTCACTGAATTTCACTCTCTGCCTTTAACGGCTCGTTGTAGCTCCCAAAGCTCCAGCCCCCACCCTCTCTGTGAGCACAGTGTGCTCTGATTGGTCGGGACGTTGTGAATCGCGCTGAGCTCCGTGGAGGTGTTGTTTCCTTGTTTAGGATACACAGCCAAACACAGCCAAACTCATCCTGAGCACACACAAAGTCACAGCCGAAGTAAAAACAATAAGTGTGGCTTGATATTGAGTAAGAAAAAGGTTGATAAACGCTGTGAGAATGGGTCTGCAGAGAGAATTTTGCCGCGATCCCAACTGTCTGTTATCAGCCTGCAGCCAGGGAGGAGAAATCAGCTGAGCTGCCTGCTCCCTGCACACAGATGTGTGTGTGAGGAAGTCCGTGGATCGGTCAATTTGGACCAATCAGCGGGGGCTTAACGTAACGGCTCCGCGGACGTAATGTAACGGCTCCACGGATTGGTCCATTTCGTTCCGGGTACGGGTTGACATCATGCCGTCCCGGAAGACTCAAATGGACAATGACGTATCTCCAACGAGGCGTTTTGGGGAGGTATTTTCTGTGTTAGAGTTTTACTCGCTCCAGGGTGTACTTTGAGGGTTTTGACTCTGCACACTGTTTACATGCATAAACCTTCATAACACACAAGGGGACGGGTAATAACCGGAAAAGCATGACACCTCTCCTTTAAATAACTTGCAAATAGCTTAATAATAGATTTGAGTGAATTATTGCAATTTATTTTTGCACATTTTACTCTTTTTTTGGACAAAATTACTTTTTAACATTGGTGATATCAATGTTAGCATGAGCCTCAAACATCCAGAATCTTTCGGCTGTAATTTGTACAGGAAGTGGTTTACCTTATAATACTGTGGAGGGTTGGGCTGGCCGGCTCCTGGGGGGAACTGTCCCAGGTTGTGTGATCCAGAAGAGTACTGCCCCATGAGAGGCATCCGACTGGAGGGGTAGGAGGGTGAGGGCGCACATCGCTGCTGTGGACCAGGGGGGTACTGCAGAGGCTGGTTAGGGTACCCCGACATCCCACCAGAGCCGTACTGCTGCACTGGGAAACCCTGGGGAAAACAGAGTACATTGTAAGAATGTATTGCTGAAAGAGCAGGTAAATATTCAATGCATACATTATATTTATATTATACATCATATATTTTATATATAAAACTTTTTCTTTTGTCCACCGCTTCAAACCATGTCATCATATTTAACACTGTGAAGATGTGCATTTAAAAATACAAATAGCAGTGAAAGACTGGGATTTCTAATCCCAAATAGTTTCTTTCTTTCATGTTTACATTTTTCTTTTAAAGGAGCCTGCGCACTTTGTCTGGTCAGAAAATTAAATTTCTTTTGGGCATGAAGTTGAAGAATCTACAGTCTAATACTCAAACATATTTAATTTGTAGTTAAATAAAAACAGAGAAAAAACCCCAAGTCCTCACATTTAAACTAATTAAAACAAATGAAGATTCAGCTTTTTCCCCCAAATAAATTGGTTAATTAATTATTTAACAGATGTTAAATTAAGATTGCTGTTGATTAATCGACTAATTGTTCAAGCTCTCATCTTATCAACTATTTCCGACATATTCAATGCAACTACTATAAATTGTAGAGTAAACTTGTAGAGCAAAGAAAACTGTAAACAACTTATGAGCAGTGTGTTTTGTGTTGGCTTGAACAATCCACACCAGGGCCTGGCAAAAATCTAAAAGTGTGTATGCCCCTTCTGTCCCCTCACTGACCTCTGAGTGATACGGCCGTTTGAGCCCCTGCTGGGGCCCGGGATAGCCTCCGTGCTGGGGCATCTTCTGAGCCTGGTGGGGGTGGGTGGGATACAGGCCTGCGGTGGAAGGTGGAGGTCCGGGCCTGGAAGAGACCATCCCTGGAGGACCGCGGGGGCCCGCATGAGACAGGAACTGGGTGCTGTAAGAGGATGCTCCACCCATCTGGGAGGGAAGAGGAAGAACAACAGCAGGGGTGAAAACAAAGCTCACCGGGTGTTTGACACAGAGCAGAGGGGGTGAGTGTGAACAGAGTGACAGAAGGGGAGAAGTCATTAAAACGTTGTTAGTGTGACTGTAGGAAAAAACAGACCAGAGTCTGGATTTATTAATTATCAGAATCTCTCCAAAATATCTCACTGAAACTACATCTAGGACGAAAAACAAGCAAAACACTAGCCACATATTGTATTTCTCCGATAGTTCTGGTTTGAATAATTTCAATACAGAAAGTATGGCAAATTTTAAAACTAAGTCTAGACACTTAGGATCAGCTATGCATCACACTGTGGCTGCCTCCTATTAGCTGGTTAAGTTGTTTTGGTCTTTCTTCATTCAGTTATAAATGTTTTCATGAGGAATAACTTATTTTCAAGAATCTCATGAGCACATCTTTGCTTTTAGAGTGGAAAGTTTGCATGACTCTTTGTGGAGAAACACAATTAGTTGCCGATATCATAGGATTTTTAGTCGACTTGAATTTCTTTAATGGAGGGAGCCCTGAAACTAGGTTCTATAACTTAGAATTAAAGTTCATTGCTCCAAATTAAGATACATCTAAGACCAACATTTCACATAAGTTGTGACTGGGGAAGTTTACTGGAGACATCCTGTGCAGGAAAGCTGGTCTCATGATGTTAACAAAATAATAAAAAAGTAACATGACCTGCTAGAAGACTGACATGGACAGGCTGCATCAGAAGGGGATAGTTGTTTAGCCAAAAGAGATGAAATGATTCTGGGCTGGGTTAAAAGCTCCCCGGCTCCTATACAGTCACACATTTACCTGGCCATAGCTCATCTCCTGGTGCTGTTTCTCCTGTATTGCCGCAACAGTTGCCGTAGCAGTGGCAGTTGCTGTGGCAGCGGCGGCGGCAACAGCAGCGGCAGCAGCCTGAGTGAAGTCTGAGGGAGGACGGATGCCCATACCGGCACCTCCACCGTTACCAGAGTAACTGCAGAGAGAGGGGAAGACGGGGAGAGGAGTGGGCGATGAACTAAGTGAACTGAGCGTGTGAGTGTGTGGTTTCGTCATGAGCATGAGTCAGAGCAGTGGGAGAGAGCAGCCACGCTGACATATTTTGATGCAAAATCACGTAGATGTAGCTCAAAGCGTAGTGCTACATAACACTGAACATTCATCAAACTAATTTAGTTTTTATAGTTTCATTTCTTGCTGATTACAGCCAGGCATGATAAATAATGTTCCCTACGCAAACTGCTCAATGTAAAAGGACAGTTAACCAGTTAGTAATCAGCTGGTGCACTCCACTCCACTCCTAGCAGCAAATATTCGGCTTCAACACATGTATTTCAGTTTATTCAAGGCATTCATTTTGTTATTCTACAGTATTGTTGTTTTATAGTTATTTGTTAATGTATACAACCCAATTTGTTTTCTTTGAAATTGAAAAGGATATTGCATTGTGTTTGTTACTTTCGTTGTAGTTGTATATATGTCTTAAGTGTAATTTGGCTTGGCTTCCTATTTTGGATGGATATGCTTTTATTTTGAAGGAGAGTTAGCGCTGTTGACAGGAAGTTGTTGTTGCTATGGAAACAACGTGACGGAGAAAAGGTGCGGAGATTAAAAGTAACATCTACATATAAAGACAGAGAAAGTAAACTATAAAGTTTATGGTTAAGTGTTAGCACCCCCCGAAGAGGCACAAGCTCTTACGTTGATATTGGAGATTTCAATCAATTCAATTTGGCAGCCGCAGTGCACTGCGGCTGCCAAATTGAACGAAATGTAATGAACGGAAATTGAAAACCGAATAGTACTCCAACGACCGAATATTCGGATATTCGGGTACAGCCCTAGATAATTGAAAATGTGATATTGTGACAGCCCTTGTTGCAACACAGCCCATGCCACATGGCTATACTATTTTCTTGATTTCATTAACATATACTTATAAACACAAACATCCATAATCTGGTGAAAGTTAAAATAATAATTTAGCCATTAATTAACTTGTTTCTGCCTTTTCAAATGCTTTGCACAACACAAATTGACATGGAGCATTAAATGAACTGCAGCTGATATTTGGTGAGCAGAAACGCAGCGTACCTTCCTCCGTAGCCCGAGGCCGGGTTGTAAGCAGGGTTGGGACGTCCGTACATGATTGGCTGGCCGTATCCTTTGGAGATAGCGTCTCCGTACGAGTGCTGGCCCATGAACTGGGACCCCATGCCAGGACCCATACCAGGACCACCACCAGGCATCATGTGACCGCCAGAGCTCTCACCCGGACCCATGGGTGAACAGAACACCTACATGAGAAAAAAGAGAGAAGTGTTATCACAGTAAACAATCATAAGAACCATAATCAAGTCAATCAGAGAGAGGAAGGAACACGAAGGCCACAGTGTACAGTCATATTCACTTCTAAGTATCACAATGATAGTCCCTCTGATATGAGATATGACATCCCTATTTTGTGAGGCCATAAAATTGAATAATGAAAGTCTTTTAGTTTTTCTCAGCAGTTATGGCGTTTAAAATAAACCCATTCAAAAGACTGACTGATATAGTTCAACCTAAATGATTGACATTTCAAGTGCATTTCAATCTTGCAAAGCTTCATTCAAAGCTGAAAATAATTGTTATATGGTACTTAGTAAAGGGTAAATTGAAAAAGTCCTTGAAAGAAATTCTCAATTTAAACTCAAATATAAACTTATTTAGGGCTGATAGGTCTTGATTGTAACCTGACATGGTTTCTATTTAGTTTTATTTGTATGAATTCTAAAAAGAAATCCAGTTGCAGAAACATATAACACAAAACAACTGAAAAAGTAGCTTAAAAAAACAAAACATGGCATGGATAATATTATTAACAATTTACCTTTACTGTAAAAGTGTTATACTATATGGGACTTGGATTAAAGGTGGGGTAGGTAAGTTTGAGAAACCGGCTCGAGATACACTTTTTGTTATATTCCATGGAATGCTCTTAACATCCCGATAGCAATGAATATCTTAAGTGCTTTGACAACAAATACATTAAAAAAATGTCATCTGTGGAAGCCGTAATACTGTAAAAAGCACGACCAATCATTTTAGCCGGCCTGGCTAAAATAACTGGATGGCCTACCTGCCTGTCAGCCTTCCATCTGTGCACAAACTTATCTCGTGCCCTCATTGGTCATGTGCGCGTTCGTGTGTGTTGGAGGAGGGGCTCTGTAAGGAAGTGGCAGATTTTCTCCGGTTGTGTATTTTCAAATTCTAGCGATCTCGAGCTGGTTTCTCAAACTTACCTACCCTACCTTTAACATTAAATGTATAAAACAATAGAATTTGGGATGGAAAATATTAAATAAAAATGACCTAGGCAATGTCATCCTTGGTGTGAACGCGCCTAATAAGGGCACTCTGGCTCAAAAGATATCTTAATTTTTTTCTTTTTTAAATGATAGGAGACAAAATGTTTAAAAAATGTGCCTTTACTGTAGCAGTCTGGTAAATATGGTTCTATTTTTTATACATAAATAATACATTTATTTAATATATCTTTAGAGCACATAAAACAGGAGGAGAAGGGAATAATAAAAGATGTCCCCGGGTGCTGAGACATGTGCTACCTGGCTGTGTGTGGGATTGGTCCCGCCCCCCCACACTGTGGTTACTACAGAGAGAGATCCTGGGTGCTGATTGGTTCCTGGTTGCCAGGAGACTGGGTCATTCAGGAAGGGGCCGTCAATGCTGCAGGAGGACATGAAGCCGAGTTACAGGGATGTTGAGGAAGGTTCAGGAGAGAGATTCATCCATTTATCAATGACTGTACCACAGACTTTCATAATGTCCTCAATACAACTAAAAAGAGTGTGTACCACCTTATTAGCGTCTTTTCTACTGGAGCAGACATACAGTATTGAGTAAGAGGTCATCAATACATCATTTACACCCCGTGAGCTAACGATTAACCTGAGCATGGTTTATTCATCTGACGGTTGAGGTTACCCTGTGCTTCCTCCTTTAAAACCGTTTCCTCAACAGGAAACTACCACAACAGCATTGATGTCATGCCACATGTTATGGGTTAATACCATTTACCCCAATAAAAAGTATTTTTACAAGTTAATTTACTACCTATTTTCCATAGTTTTTAGGGCAAAGAATCATAAGATCACAAGATTGAAATTAACTACTTTGCTCTTTCCCTTTTCTTTTATCACCAGGCCCATTTCTGAGGCTGTTAGTCGTGTCAATGAGCTGGCAACACATCTTTAGCTTTCACGGCTTTCTAGGGGGGGAAATAGAGCATTCAACAGGCTTTGTGGCCGCACTCAATTAAAGGAGCGTTTTGGCTCCAGACCACCTGATCAAGACACTTCCAAAAAGGAAGAACAAAGGACACTCAGCAGCCGGTGTCCTTAACAGTTCTTAATTAAAGATTTGAAGCAGTTTGGTGTCCATTTATGTTGTCTTTTGTGCCTCTACAACAACAGGCTTAGCAGTAGCACCTCTTGAATTAACACTATTTTCTGATTTAAAGATTATCTTTTCTGTACAGACTATTAATGTGTTCGTCTGTATGGCAGGAGATACAACCTGACCTACATTCTAGTTGTGTGATAATATTGTGTTTATTTCACCACTCAGAATATCACTTTTTCACTGCATTTATCGCCGTTTCATCTTATGTAATATTGGGGACTCTACTCATAGCTCTGAAGATGTTGCTAGTGGTAAAGAACTTGGCTTTTTACATTTGAATCTGGATTGGAAAGGAGTAAACTGCATCAGCAGGCAACTAGCTTTAGGACACCAGCTATCCAGTATCACAAATAAGTGTTTCTGTCCAGCTGTTTATTTGCATTTCACATTATTGTGTTAAAAAACCTGACACGAAACACCAGATTTGAAGATGACGTAGAGTGAACGTCAGTGAAGAGCTGAAAACATCAGACGTGTGTCGAGAGGTGACTTCCTCACCACAGAAACGTCATATTTACATCTTGTTTTCGCATGGTTTCCATGGTTTGATCTAACTGCCTGATCAGTTGTTGTTTGACGTGCAGCATGATGGAGGGGGGGGGGGAAAATCAATGATCTGGCTTATGCAGTCAGATGAAGGTCAGAAATGTGGGTCTGCAGATTTACAGCCTGATTTCCCTCATGGTTGCCGTCAAAACATCCCTAATACACTGTCTGAGCTTATTTTAATATTTCTGAAGTAGTATTTTACATGTTGTGGATACATTTATTCTTCGATGCGACTAAGCTGTGATTTTAAAACTGAACCATGTCTTTCAGACAACATCCATGTTGTATTTCTCTTCTTATTTACAAGTACTGATGCCTTTTTTTTGCCTACATTTCGGAGGTCATTTTACTGGACAAAATCGACCAGGTGTTCTTTGCTAATGTTCAGAGAGAGCTCCACATCATGGTTGGTCAATTGATCGGTAAAAAGGCCAATTAAAACGTGCAGTGAGTTAACCCAGATACCAGATCAATGAAAAAAGCACATTAATATTTGTAGAGGATGGAAATGCACATTTAACTGCATTTTCTTTTATAATTGATCCGAAAAATCTAACCAGGTGACCAATACAGGGTGTCACATGGTTCACCTGAGGACACTGAGCTTTATGTCACAACAGTGTGTGTGTGTTTGGGTGTGTGTACCTTTGTGGATTGAGAGGCAGGGAGGGTTTCATGGAGTTGAGGGGGTTCATCGGATGAACGGGGGGATCATTACAGAGCCCCCACAGTCCTCAAGAGGCAGCCCTGAGAGGGAGAGAGACGCACACATAAAAAGACGGTTACTCAGAGCTCATTTGCTGCACAGCAACAATTCATCATCACTATAGCCCACACTGTGCGCACAAAGACACATCGCCCTCCCACTCACTTTAATCTGTATGTGTGTGGACTGTGCACATCAAAACGTTAGCCTATCACTGGCTGCTGTAGCTCTGATACCTCTCTGAGGAGGGGGAGGGGTGCTGGAAGCTAAATTTAGCTTGCTGATTTCAAAAGGAATTTAAGAGAACAGAGATGTGAAGAGGCAGACTCTTCTCTCAGCAGCTCACCGACGTACAAATCAGTCGCTAACACACACTTCTGTTGTGTCGCTGTGAGGAATCATCTTGTTCTGCGATTTGCTTCATTTATAAACACCCCTGCATGTTGATCTGCCACTTTCCCTCCTTCAATACCAGATGTTTTCTCTTTGTTTCTACACTCCATCTCTGCTCCCGCTAATGATTTTCTTTATCTGACAGTTAACAACTGATATGCAAATGGTATTTATTTTGAATCGTTTATTTGGTAGGGACATTGCACATTAATGAACACTTACAACAATAAATGTGCCAAGTGTAAATATGCCGGATTTAGCTTTGAGCTACTTTCCATCCGCAGTCCCTCACATAAAACATTTAATTTCTGCCATTTGGTTTCCTTTTTGCACTTTTGCAGATTTGGGTCAGACACCCCACCCCCTCTTGTATAGAAGGAGGGGAGGTGGGTGCTTGAATCACATGACCCTTATACCTGAATTCCCTCCTATCAGAAGGCATCTTCAGCCTCCAGACAGCACCTTGTAACTTCCATCACAGCTTAGCGTTAACCACACAAAGAGCTTGTAAGATGTCTGTCTCCATCACAGGCAGCACAGGCTGTACCTGCAGTGCAAGGACTGAGACGCGCTGTTCTCTCACTATCTCAGCACAGGCTGTACCTGCAGTGCAACGACTGAGACACGCTGTTCTCTCACTATCTCTTTTGACCTCAACTTCCTGACCTTTTCTATACCCGCAGCTCTTCCTCTTCATCCAACTGCTTTCTTTTCTTGTCCTTCCGCTCTTATGTCGTGTCAGCTACTGCCATCAGACTGACAGCCAGAAACACTGGAGGCGCTCAATCAACCCTCAGCTGACCCTCGGATTTCAGCCACTACAAACGCTGTTTTGCTTGGACTGATTCCAGCTATTTGTGCAGAAGCAGATGGAACGGATAACAGAGAAAGGGTGGTTCAAGTTCAATAACCCACATTTATTTATAATGTTCCTTTTCAATGAATACTACAATAAAAGCCACAATGAAACAATTGTCTGCAGACTGTGTACCACATGTTCAGAGGATGCAGTCAAAACACTGATTTATGCAGTTTGAATGCGTTTTTCGAATGTCTATTCAATTATTCTGACAATTATTATTATTGGTTCAATGAATTGTGAAGGCATACAATGCTCCTTATGCTTTTTTAGAGTCTAAAGTAAGGTCTAAATGTTGGCTTCTTTTGTTTAATGAAAATGTTTTTGGTATCTGTACTTCAAAGTTCAAACAATATCATGCAGTTATAATCGCCATTAACATAACAATTTGAAACTGTAAAAACAGTAATAAAGCAGTCTTTACAGCTTAATATTTGTTACGTTTTCACGTGACACTTAAAACTAACATTTAAAACAAAGTTATTAATACTAATTAAAACATACTGGAGTCTATAGATTTGTTAAAAGCTACAGATTACATCTGGAGCCAAAAATATATAATCAAATTCAATTAAACCTAATAATCAATTCACGTCTGGAGAAAACTGCTATTAATGTTCAAGTTGCTGCTCGAGGGTAAGACAGGTTGGCAGCCATTCAGGAAAGATGATTAAACACTCCCTCTGATACTTAATCAAATCAAAAACACACTTTACATAATTAATGAGTTGACAGTCAGACCACCATGTCAATTAAATCAAGGCTCTTCAGTGGCTCTTCTGTTACGACACCCACTGTGTGCAGTGATGGAAAGGAACTCAGTACACTTACTCAAGTACAAGTTGCAGGTAGTTGTAGATAACTTATTTCATGCAACTCTATACTTCTTTTCCACTCCATTTCAAAAGAAACATTTTACTCCACTACATTTTTTTGGATGACCTCAGTCATTTTAAAATAAAGAATCACAACACTGAAGAACAAGTTTAGGATCAAGTTCACATTTAAACTTGATGTATAGTAACATTGAAAAAACGATGTGATTACCTCAAATGTTGTGTATTGTTCGACAAACAGTCCAAAACACACATTTGTTTCCACACAATATGATATGAAACATACAAAATAAGAAAACCCTTGGACTAAAGATGCTGGGATGGTATAATATTAGACTGTATTCATTGCATTACAAAGACAAGTATTTGATTGTTTCATCCTACCCTCAGTAATATAAACGGGGTGGACAACATCAGTGACACCTTTCAATATAAAACAACCACAAACTACATACAAATGAATACATTTCAACAGAAACTGAACATCATGACCTTTATGAAGGGATGAGTTTTTCAGGACTGCTTGACTGCATTAACATTCGCCAGCTGTATCTGATAAACCGAAAAAACAACTGTTTTTATTACCAAAACATCTACGAGTTGCCCATCAAACATTCCTGAAGCACAAAGTGATATCTGTCCAACAGTAAAACACCTACATATTTAAATATCACATGACAACTGAGATACTTAAACTATGAAAGAAAGACTCAGAGAATGAAAATATTTCCTGATCACTTTTTCTTTGATCAACCAATTCACTAAATGATTAATTGGCTTATCCTTTTTGCTTTTATTTGCCATTGAATTTCGTGGCACACATATCAATGAAAATAGCTGAGCAGGTACATTGGATTGACTCGGAACGGAAAACATTTGTTTTCTTGTTAATAAAATAAATCCCCTTTTGACTACTGTAAACAAGGTGCATTCTAACACCTGCTCACAATATTGTCGGGAAATTCAAAGTACTTTTCTGAATAACCAAAGCAGCGTAGGAGGCCACTGCTGCCTGATAACTGGGCTGCCGGCTGAAAACATGCTCAACAATACACAAGCTTAACCTGGTTGATCCTGAGCAGCACCTGCCTTTAATAAAGCTTAATTAAAGCTAATTAAGAGTCTCATTGGGATATGAGAGATTATCAGTTAATAGTCTTATAAATACAGGAGCAGGAAGCACCATGGGAGGAAAATGTCAGCTTGCAACCATCAAAAGATACAAATATTACTCCAAGGAATTAAACACTGTCTCACACTAACAAATGGCATACAAATTGTGAAGAAAGGATCTAATAAAGGTATCCAGCACATTTCATATGTTGTTTTTGTTGTCGTTTATGTTTAGTGGTGGAAAGTATCTAAGTACATTTATTCAAGTACAGTACTACCAAAGGAAGTAGCCTACTCCTTACAGCTTTATTCACTTTGCAGGTGCAGATTACTAATGCTAAATATATTGCTAAATTATGTAATGCATGATAATGTAAAATTACAGATTAAGATAAAACGTTCTTGATTCTGGGGTAAATTGATAAGCTTCACATTAACATATAAAGTAATACAAATTATTCCCAGCTTTACCAGGTGCACAATTAAAGTGATATACATGCACGAAAAAAACGCAAATTATATACGGTTTCGAAATTGATCATTCTGCATATTAAAGAAATGTTGTACTAGTGGTACTTACTAAAAGTACATTAAATGCTTACAGTGTTGTACTTTTAGCTGTTACAGAGTAAGATAACATTGCGGTTTTGGTACTTTTTACCTTAGGAAACGATTGGGCTACTTACATCACACAATGTGGTGGCATTATACGAAAAATAATACGACCTAGGCTTGAAATTTACCGAAAAATATAAAATATACAGTGCAAGAAAATGAATCGGAAAGAGTTAACAGTACAATTAAAGCCCTCACACTTTACTGTGTATCTGTAGAGTTATGGCCTAAAGCAAAACAAAAATCATCAAACCTAAAACATCTGGATGCTCCAAAAAACAACAGCATCGATCTGCTTTGAGTCGTTAAACCACCTTCTTCACCCAAGACTGCTTTTTCAAAGAAACAGTGAAGCCAACTAACTCAGCCTGGCTTCCACCCAACACAACATGTTATTGTACCCATGATACATTCAGGAAGTCATGTCCAACAGGGGAAGAAAACAGGCACTGGCTACCTAATAAAACACATTGCAATTCAACAACAACCCATGCATATTAAAACAACTGTTGTGTAAACCATTCAGGGTGCACAATCAGCTTGTGCAAAACGGACAGAATTTCATTTTACGATGTGCCAATTTGTATTTTTTTTTAAAAAGCATTGGAAAATTATGCAAATTCTCTGTACCTGCAAAATATTATATAAAAACAAAACATGCTGCTTACATTTGCAGCAGTACAAAGCAGAACAAAGCATCTCAGCAGTGTGCATGCTATGGAGGAGTGCAGCCTCTCTCTGTCTCTTCATGTTATCCATCACTGAAAAATGAAAATAGCAGATGTTTCCTTTCACCTACCTGAGCTGATTTGCTTCATAAACGCAGATAATATGCAGCAAGTAAAGCTGGGAGTTAGTAATGATAAAAATGTAATATCTATGTGATATTGCTGTGTTGTAGCCTCAAGTTTGAGTGATCTATCTTGTTAGTGGCAGTGAGTGAAACAGGAGCTGTGGAGGGTCTTTAACACGTTGCTGCTGCGCCGCTGGCACCGTTAGCTCCTGGAGGCTACTTAGCTAAGTATGTGTAACGTTAGCTTGTTCTACGTTACACTGAGCGAGTATCTATCTACAGCGTGTTATAAGCAGTTAACTGAAGAGCAAACAAGGCTATATTGATCATTAGTAACTGTAAACAGAGCTTACCTTTTGCCTGCTTCAGCTGCCAGACGATGAAGTGCCGCTTGATTGTAGACGGTTAGCCACTCGGCTAGCTAGCTAGCTAGCTAGCTAGTGTCGCAGTCCCGGCTAACAAGACAAGGCTGCTTGATTACCGTGTGGTCGAACATTAATAATATATTTTTATTTTGTTATCACACACCAGCCTCTTGAATAGTAAGTATACTATAAATAACCCTTCAAATGTTATTATGCTACTCTTATTTATTGCTAATTATAAATTATGAACAGTGACTAACTATGAGCTATCCGAGTCAATTAGAATAAGCGTGTTGCAGTCTGTGCTTGGGGCAAGCCATAATAACCTGGCAGCTCAGCAATACCTTCCTCATTGCACAATGACCCTCTATAATATATTCATGAGATCACAAGGGCTAATGTCTCCCACAGAGAAAGGCATTTTCCTGTCCCTCCTCCTACAAGTCAGGCGGCTGGCTGCCTGACTGACTGCAGACCAGAGCAGCAGATCATTTTAGAGAAGAGAGAGGAGGGTGGAGGTGGTGGAGGAGGAGGAGGAGGAGGGGGGAGATCATGGACAATGACGTCACCCGTGCATGATCACGTATGTATGATCCATGCATGCAACATGATCTGCGCTTTCCACTTATGCACCTGCATACATGTGTCGCAATATTGTATCAACACACACCCCACACACACACACACACACACACACACACACACACACACACACACACACACACACACACACACACACACACACACACACACACACACACAGGTGGGTGGTGTCACTTGCTAACTAGGCGGTGTTTCTCCAGCAGCAGCAGCAGCAGCAGCAGCAGCAGCAGCAGCATCAGGGCCAGCAGGCAGCGAGTGTTATTGGAGTCATTAAGAGGTGTCTGCAGTATCTTGCCAGAGGGCAGTGCAGCGTGGAGAATAAAAAAAGTCCAACCTGCCTGTGTTTTTCAGACCTCTGTTGCCCTGGAAACAGGTGCAGAGATTTCCCATTTCTTCATTTTTTCCCTCCACACTATCCATATCTCTCCCCACCACCACCACCTCTACACTCCACACTGCTGCTGCTGCTTCCTCCCCCACGACCTGCCGCATAGTACAATCACACATACACACACACACACACACACACACTCACACATACACCCTTTGCTCACAATTTCCAATCTACGACTGCAGTCATTTCACAATGTCACAGTAGGATGGAGTGAATGACTCCTCAACAACATATCTGCACACAAAACCTGAGACATCAGTGAGGCGTTGACCCTCCTTTGACTCTGAGGCAATGCTGCAACAACCTGACCTCCAGGAGGAAATAAAAGAGGGGGGAGATGGGGAGGGTTGAGGAGACAAAGAGGGAGTAAAAAAACAAAGCTGCCTGCACTCACAGATGAAAGAATGTGGTTAATCTCGCTTTTTCCCCCCGAGGCAAGCGAGGAGAAAAACGGGGACAGGAACAGTGCCATCTTTTCTAAAACCTGATTATTCTCATGGCAGTTCTATAGAGATCAGGCAGTTGGCTCACCATATTGCACACATAACTCTAGGTGTTATTTTTGAATATTCATGCATAAAAGTGGTTTAGACAGAAAAGGCATACAGCTGCCACCAGGGGAGACACATTTACTCTGGGCATGTCTCCTTACTTTCAGGCCTTTTTAAGTCATCCTTGTGTTTCTGAAGTGTTATGTGTGCATACCATTGTAGTGACTTCTCTTTGGCATGAGGCAGAACATTCCAGGGAAATGGCTGACCCTGAGTAACACACACACACGCAGGATGAGTGAGTGAGGGAGATAGTGAGGGAGTGAGGTCCTCCACCCTTTTATTGCCCAAGTTGCTGTTTCCTTACAGACACATGACATTGTGTGTGGGAAAACACAGCCACACATAAAATATGCAGCTAGAATAGCAGCATGACTATCATCACAAGAACACATGACAGTGTTTTCCCCTCAACTATATCTTAAAAAACCATACAAAATCTTGATTTTCACCCTGCATTCATCAATGACCTCCCATTTACTCTAGTACAGTGCTGAAACAAGAGAGCATTGAGTATTTTTGTTTTGCTAATGACTGAAACAATTAATCTATCATTGAAAAAGTTGCCAATACATTTTCTGAATAAATCTCGGGCTCAACTCAATTACTGTACTTAAGTGCAAATATGTGACACATTAAAGTGTTACTATTTAAAGTTATTTTTCTACTTCCCTTGAGAAAAATATTGTATATTTTACTGCACTACATGTATCTGTCAGCTATTGTGACTGTGCAAATGATCATTTAAAAAACATAATTAATTTATAAATATAGTGCATTTAGATACAGTTAACTTCAAAAAAGAGTGTATAGTATTAGAATAAAGTTAAATAAGCCATCAACCACAATTATTAATACATACCGATAAAAAGCAGGAGAGTAATTTTTTACTTTCATATTTTAGGAACTAATATTACTCAGTTAATTCATATTCTAAAAATAAATGATTTAATGTGAAGTGGAGTACTTTCACAGTGTGGTATTGCTTTACTTTTTTTTTTAAATTATATAAATACTTTCTCCACCACAGCCATAACAGATAACTAATTTTCTCCTGATGTCTCTCTCTCTATATCCAGCTTGGCCATCTGTGTGACCCTCCATTTGTGCGATGTGATGATGCAGTAGTGTATTTTTACTCCAGTCTCACTGGTTGAAAGCAGTTTGACGCAATTAGCATGAACTCCAAATCATCCTTCTGTCCTTCGACCCCTAATTTTCATCTTTTTACATGTTACTCCTACGACCATCTGGTGCCACAGAGACTCACTTTTCCTTTCTATTTTCATCTCCACAGAAATGATACAGCCCTGTAAATGAGTTGTTGGATTCTCCTCAGCAGACACTTACTGCATTTGATCCAGAACATCAGGAGCAGCTTGACCAGAGCTGTGCCCCCCTGCTGGTACTGTAGATCCCTGGGTATGCTTCAGCAAGCAATGGGGGGAATTATCTGAATACATTTTTACAGCTATTTTAACTTTTCAGATCAAGTTTTACAGTTAAATATAATAACAATAACAGATTTTTAAACCTGTGTTTTTCCCTTTTTGGCTCATCTCAAAAACGCAATGTCTATCGGAGGCCTATTTTCATGGTCTTGACCCAAAAAGGGAAGAGAATCCAATATTTACTCAAAGTTAGAACTTAGTTTCTTTACTTTTTTTTGTTTCCACTTATATACAACCCATCAGATTTATCTGGTGACCAATTGCAGGGGCCCATATTGGGGGCCAGCTGGTTTACATGGATGTAATGTGAACTATACTATACACCACTGAGTTGTTTGATCTGTAACACTATATTGCATTTGATAAGCTGAAGATATATTGTGTTTAAAAGATTAATTGGTTTTAAATAACCAGTAACCACCGTTGTTAAATAAATAAATGTGGTGGAGTAAAAAGCAGAGGTGGGAGAAGTATAGATCTTGTACTTAAGTACAAGTACCAGAGTGTAGGAATACTCTGTTACAAGTAAAAGTCCTGCATTCAAAATGTTACTCAAGTAAAAGTACAAAAGTATTAGTATAAAAATATACTTAAAAGTACCAAAAGTAAAAGTACTCATTATGCAGATGTTTTGATTATAATTATTGATGCATTAAAGTGTCATGCAAAGCTGGTAAAGGTGCAGCTAGTTTTAATGACTTTGTATACTGCAGGGTAGCTTGTGAATTTACTCCAGGTATAAATAAAGTCTTATTTAACTGTTGATTATTACATTATTAATCAAAATCTGCAAAGTAACTAAAGGTATTAAATAAATGTAGTGGATTAAAAGTACACGATTCACCTCAAATGTGTAATGGAGTGGAAGTACAAAGTAGCATGAAATGGAAAGTATCTCAAAGTATTTATATAAAATACTTTAGTAAATCTACTTAGTTATTTTCCACCTCTGGTAAAAAGCATGATATACTGTTTTAATTTTTAAATGTAATGTATGAAGTATTATTATTATTATTATTATTATTATTATTATTATTATTATTATTATTATTATTATTATTATTATTATTATTATTATTATTATTATTATTATTATTATTATTATCTTGCATGAGTTTGACATTCAAATGATAGAAATAACACAATTATTTTTGAAGTGGTTTTGTGGAAATCCTGCAACAAAAAGAAAATCACAGCTGGTCTGCTGCTGCCACCTTGTGTTTAAAATCTCAACTTCACTTCCTGTAATACTGTACTGGTACCAGGCTGGTAAAAACTGTAGTTTATAACAAATACAAATAAAACATAAATAAAATAAAAGGTTAGTATACATAAGGAACCTGGTCAAAATAATTACCATCAAATCTAATGTCCCTATTCTCCGCAATAAGATTATAGTTCATGCTGGATTAATCTCAATTTTAGTTAAAACGAATGTTCTGTTGCAGAAGGTTTTAACATATTATAATGGAAAGCTGCAATACCACAGAATCGTTTCGTGGATAATGTATAACTCACAGTTTCATTGCAGAAGAAGCACTTGCCCTTTAGTTCACTTTCGTTTTGGCTGCAAAGTGAAAGTAAACTGTAGCCTGTGTTTGAGGAGTCTTAACTGCGTTTTCATCGATGAATGCAGTTGTTGAAGAGAATTAAGTGAAATCTGAACACATTACTCGCTGTCTTTTGTGAAAGGTGAGTATTTTTGAACAATTGTGCTTTGTTGTGTACTGTAGCTCCTGCGTGACAATGACAGACAAAATGTCACACTCGTTGATACAATATATATTTCATTTTTTGTCTTTCTGCTCTTAAAACGTAAGATTTGTGTGTGGGACAAACTAGCAGTGGTGGAAGAATTACTCGGATCATTCATTACCTTAAGTGAAAGTCGAAATGACACATTGTGAAAATACTCCGCTTTTTTCCCTTTTTATTTTCCTAAGTTAAACTACAAACGTATTTTACGTTAAATGTCAATTATTATTCTGGACTAACATTATATTGATGCATTAACGTGTAGTATATCAATGTTAAAGCTGTTATGATCACCTACAATCAGTTTTTGTAAGGCGGTCATGAGGTCAAAAGTGTACGACCAATCCCACACTTTCTTTTTACAAACTGTCATGTTTTTGTCTTACCTCCAGGGATGGCTGAGGGCCAAAGCAGCAATAGCTCCATGAAGATGTTGAAGCCTGAATTACTGCACAGTGGCAAAAAAAACTCAGGTGAGGCCTCCTCTGCATATAACTATTAAAAGAGTAAAAGGAAATGCAGTCTACTTTAATTCCACTTCATTAAAAAAATGTGTTTTGCTTCTTGTTGCTTTACTGTAATTTAGCTTCACAGTGCAGAATGTTGAATGAGGAACATTTCCCTGAGCTCACATTACATTTCAGTTTAACCCCTGGACATACTTGCAGGATTAGTTGGAAGCAAATCAAGGTCCGGCATGAATCTTAAACAAGTGATGTAGAGAGTTGAAGCCTGCTCTCTTACCTCCAGATGTGGCCGACGGAGGAGAAAGCAGCAAACGCTCCAGGGAGATGACAGAAGGGCTTCAGACTGGAGAACTGCACAAGAGCAAAGGTCAGGCCTGCTCCTCCTGCATTTAGAGAGATGAAATAAGTAGTTGCCTATAGATTATAATATCAATGAGGGAAAGTAGGGAGATTTCATTCACAGTATTTATAAAGAAGGGAACTTGAATGTTTTAATTGGGAAATCGTATCAGACACACATTATAATTCCCAGGAGAGAAATGTATTACATTACAAGTTTGAAATGTCCAGCAACATATTCTGGATTTATGAAAAATCTTGTTCTTCTTAAGTGTTACCTAGAACCTTTTTGTGTGTGTGTCAGCCACTTCCTTTTCACTGTAATTTGTCTCTCACCTCCAGAAATGTCAGTGGACCGCAGAAACAACTCTGAACAGATTAAACAGTGTTTATCTGATATAAATCCTGATGGAAAAGCAAGCTCAGTTCAGGCAGGCTGCTCATCCCCTGGAGCCCCCTCCTCTGCACCTTCCTCTACTGGAACCTCATACCCTGGACATTCCTCTACTGGACATTCCTCTACTGGACCCTCATACTCTGGACCCTCCTACCCTGGACATTCCTCTACTGGACCCTCCTCCCCTGGACCCTCCTCCTCTGGACCTTCTTCCTCTGCACTTTCCTCCTCTGGACCCTCCTCCTCTGCACCCTCTTCCTCAGTACCCTCTTCCTCTGAACCTTCCTCCTCAGTACCCTCTTCCTCTGAACCCTCCAGTTCCTGGGATGATGTAAGCGCTACACATGTTGAGGGGGCTGAAGCAGTGAGGAAGAAGAGGGAGGACGGCCCTTCATCTTGTTGCCTGCTGGAGGATATGAAGAGAATTCCACAATGTGACAACAAGCTGGGACGTCTGGAATTCAGCAAAACGCACACTGTCCTTGTAGATGTAAGATGTTAGCCTTCTTCTTCTATCTCCACTAACTAAGTACATTTACTCTAGTGCTATACTCAAATGCAATGTTGAGGCACACAACACTCTTTTATAAGTCCTGCAAAATGTATACCTTAAGCAGTAAATGTACTCATCCTGCAGGAGAATATGCACCAATATCTGATTCTATGTGACATTATTAGATTCATCAATATTAGAGCAGCATTTGACCTTCATAGATGATTGATGTTAAGCTACTTATAACTAGTTCATATACATTGAGCTTGTTCAGTCAGATGGTTCCTCTCAGGGGTCAAGACATGATTAATGGGAGAGGAAATAAGAGATATTATGTTCCGTTTTATAATTTTCCTCTCATCTTTTTTTCTTATTTTATACTCAGGTGAACATTTTCAACTTTGGAGCGGGACCTTTGCCTCAGGACGGAAGAGACGTGTGGAACAGTGACTTTGTGAAAATGCCGTATTCTCAGTCGAGTCACATGAAGACTGGATTTGCGATGGTTAGTTTGAAGCTGTTCACATTATGTTTATCTAGAGACAAGTTGTAGGAAATATATGATGTCCTCATTTTCAGGGATACAGATACATTCTCCTCCAGAATAATGGTGGATTATATCAAAACGAATAGAGTAAACATCCTGAGAAGTTATTTGATTTTTCCATCCACAGCAAACCAACAAGGTTAGGTGGGAAGTGATCTCCAAGCAGCTGAGCTCTCTGTCCAAGAAGACGACAGCCAGCGTCAATGATTTGGAGGTAATCTGGCTATTCCATCACCATTTGCATATTTTGTTTTGCACGTTGACCATATTTCTCTTTGTACATTCCTTCCTCTTAGTTTCAAACACTCTATAATTGTTTCTTTTGAATGTATGTATCTAGGCATCCCCTCTCTCCTATCATAGCGGTCACTATCAATAAAGGACAAATGCCCCAAAAACATACATACATGTTTTGTAGTACATTTCCGTTTTATATTTTTGAGTCTTGACTCTTTTCTCTCACTGTTATTTGGGACAAGAAGTAAGGCACAATCCATACTGTACATACGACAACCAACTTGGCAATAAACCTGATTCTTATTCTAACGTGTCTGCAGTAAACATGGATTGTACTCCTTCAACCTGTGTATCTCTCACTAGGAAGCTATCATCAAATATAACCCAAAGTACAAAAGTCAGTGGTCCTTTGATGCCCTCTCCAGCTTGGTTAAGGTCAGTGCCCACGTGTTAACACATTATTCAAACATCTGTTTTGTGGCAGAAACCCCTTTTAATCATTTGTTATAATTATATTTCATCATCAGGCCAACCCGAAAGGAGATAATTACTTACCCAAACTATTTCCAAAGATAGCTGAGCTGGCCTTGAGGCTGCCTGAGCTCGTGAAGAAGGTATGACACTCACTGTCTCAGCTTCACTCTACAGTAGTCACTATCACACTGATATTTGATAATTGACCAAGTTCGCATCTATGTTTCCAGGCCGTCCCGCTGCTTAAGAGGGGACACCCTGCAGCCATCACCCTGTCACAAACTCAGATAGCCTGCCTGCTCGCCAATGCATTTTTCTGCACGTACCCTCACCGCAACGCCTCCGGTCCTAAAGCAGAGTACCACAACTACCCCTCCATCAACTTCACCAGGTCAGAAAACACCCATACCACTCTGTTACACATCCAATTGCCAAGCCTAAATACTCTATTCTTCTCATTCTGCATGTAGTCTGTTTGGTAACTGGTCGTCCCGGAAGAAGCAGAAGCTGAGGGCCATCATGCATTACTTTCAGGAAGTCACAGGTGAGAGATAGTTGATGCTGAACCTCATCTTCCTCCAGTTTGTGAGGAGTGTCAGTGAAGATCTCTGACTGTTGATGTCTTTCAGCCAAGGAACCAACAGGACTGGTGACGTTTGAGAGACACTGCCTCAGAGACACTGACTTCCCCAACTGGAGAAGGTAATAATATTATTAATATGTATTTATAGAGGCATCTCAAACAGTTATACATGATAGAATAACTAAAAGAGAATTCAAGTTAAATATAAAAAGACTATAGCCATGCTAGCAGATCCTGTGGGGCCAGCAGTGTTCATGTCATGGATTTATATAACGATTTTCCAACTTGTAAACATAGTTGAACTTTTTTCTGTACGATTGGAAAACGAATTTCTTTTTTTTAAGCTTCAGGTATATTCAACCTGTCTATTACTAATAAAGAAATACCTTCAGTATAATCAAACAAACAACTTACGTATGTTGACCTTAAGGTGGCACCATATGAAAAGTAAGGATCACTAAAGTTTGTGTAAAAAAGTTAACTCATTATTCATTTTTTTATTGTGGCAGCTGTAACAAGAAGATGCATAAACTGCACGTTGCCTCACATGGCACCATTGAGAATGAAGGAAAAGGAATGCTTCAGGTAAGATCTGAACTAAAGCATCGCGGTCCCAACTGTTTTTGTCCAGAATCTATTGAAATAAGATTTCTTGTGCCTTTGTTTTTGTGCAGGTGGATTTTGCCTCCAGCTGGATCGGTGGAGGTGTGCTGGGCTCAGGTCTGGTGCAGGAGGAGATCCTGTTCATCATCAATCCAGAGCTGATCGTGTCCCGCCTCTTCACTGAGCGACTTGGGGACAAGGAGTGTCTGATCGTTACAGGTACCGTAGTGGAGAAATTATAAATGGATTAGTTATTGTTGATCAAATTAAATGTTTTAAATTACTTAGTAAAAGGTTTTATGTGATTGTAAACTGAATACCTTTAGGTTTTGGTCTTTTGGTCGGGCAAAACAAGACATTTAAAGATATGAACTTGTGCATTTTCACAATTTTTTGACATTTTACAGACTAGAAAAGTGTATGTGTCATCATAAGGAATCAGTGAGACACATTCATTACCATGAGCACACAAACTGTAGTTTACAGACATTGGCTGGTCTCCTAAATACTGACCCAATTGTTGATTCATCCGATTTAAAATAGTCCCCAAAAAATGTGCTTTGAATCGTTTGGTTTGTCATCCATAAAAATGTCAGAAGAAGTTAAATGTTTACGTTTTTACTAACCTCCCCAACTGCTGTGGACAGCTTACATTATTGTCAATCTCTTCTCTGGCGTTCCCAATGTGTTCTGCTTTTATATGTGATTTTCTTAATATGTTGGACTGCCGTTTAGACAAAAAAAGGATTATGTTTGTGTAGCGTTTTTTAAAGATTTACCATTTCAGTAAGAACCAATGGGCTTGGAGCTGAGAGAGACAGGAAGTCAGAAAGTATTGAGACAGACTAACTCAATGTTGGCTTTTCTCTGTTTCTCAGGCTCCCAGCAGTTCAGCAATTACTCTGGTTTCGGGGACACCTTTCAGTGGGAGGGCCCTCATGAGGAGCGCCTCAACAGGTATAATCACTGTCATGGCCTGGCTCTTGGCCATAACAAAAACGTGGAACGGACATGATATAAGGAAGATATTTATTGTAAACCAAAAGACTAAACAAAAGAGCTACCACAATGGGATGTGTTAATCAGTAAGATCAGTAGTGTAGGTCACGGTGTGGGTGTGTGAACGTGGTGTGGTGCAAGGTGTTGAATGCCAAACTAAGAGGAAGGGAAACAAAAGCATATAAGTCAGGTAGCTGCTCTCAAAAACAGATCGTCCAACTGAGAGAGCGAACGAGACTCTGGCTCGAGTCTTTCACTCCTCCGGTACCGGCGGCCAGGTGCCCTCAATCAGCGCTGATAGGGAGGAAGGGAGACCGTTAAAGGGCCATACACACACAATAGGAGAGAGTAAAGCAGGGGTCGTCACATCACTTTTATTATACGAGCCATATTTTAATACATCCGGTTTTCTCACATTTGATCTTTATAGAGACGAGTGGGCTCGGCTGCAGAGGCAGATCGTGGCAATCGACGCTTTGCACTTCAAACACAGAAGTGAGCAGTTCAATATGATCAATGTCACACGGGAACTAAACAAGGTGAGCTGTGTGTATTGTTATTTTGTCATTAATCATTATTTTCATATTATATGACCTAATAATCATATACTAAAAGCCCATATATGGTATATAAACGTTTGTGTGTTGCCTTAAATCAATGCATAACCCACCAATCTTTTCCTGAAATAATGGTATAACAAATCTTAAAGGAAGTATCCAACCACAACTTATATTTTTGCCTTTAATTTGATTAAATATTGTATTTTTCTTAATTGATCTTTTGGCATGCTGCAAACAGAAGTAATAAAGTGTTGGCTCTTGTTTTGGAAAAGTATGTTTGTTTCTGGCTTTAATTCAAAGGACTTCTCAACAGTAATTGTATTATTCTGCATGACCAAACATTCTGTATCAATAGTAAAGTTACATTTGCATTTTATCAGGCATTGTTTTATCTATAGTAATCTTTTTTTCCTTAAAAAAGGCATACTGTGGATTTAAGGGTCATCGGCCCAATGAGCCCGACATCGCTACAGGAAACTGGGGCTGTGGAGCTTTCAATGGAGACAAACAACTCAAAGGTACTTTTTCAGTCTCCATCCATTTATTCTTCACCCAGGAACACATTTAACACCTTGAGCTTTTCCTTTCTGTTCAGCTGTGATCCAGCTGATGGCAGCAGCACAGGCAAAGCGAGGTCTGGCCTTCTTCACCTTTGAGGATGAAAGTCTGAAGCAAGGCCTGCAGCAGACGCACCACCTGCTGGTCACAGAAAGAACTACAGTTGGTGAGAGATTTCAGGACATCAGACTTGTCAAATGTTTCTTGTTGGTTCAAAACGTTTCTAATCGTCTTATATTTTGCAGAGAAACTGTTCAGACTCCTTGAAGACTACTGTGCCGCTCAGCAAGCGTCTGGCAGTGTACGTGTGGATCTGTTTGATTTCATCAGGATCAACTTCAGCCCTTCCAGGAGTCTGCTGTGAGGACTGATTCATCCCTACCTCTGCATCTGAATTTGCACTTAAATCTAAAAGGGATCTTTAAGTAAAAGAAATTAAGAAGCGTCCGTATTGATTAAAGATCATTTTTTGCAAATGTACCTTATTTTGATCGTTAAAAGCGTAGCGATAGCCAGGAAATCTGGGCAGAGAGAGATATGATGTGTAACAACGAAGAAAATACATGGTTATTAAACAAGGCTTTAGATCAATTAATCCAGAAGGTGTTTTTGATTTAGTTTCTACACTTTGATTTATTCACTTTTTCCTCAAGCCAACTGGCCAAGTTGAGAAACTCATAAAAAATAAAATGTCTTAGTGTGAATCATATGTAATTTTAGCTCCATCAGTTGCTCTAAAGCCTGAGAGAAGTTAGCGTTAGACCAGTACTCTCACACTCAGTCAGCTGCTGCAGGTTTTGCAAGTTAACCCATTAACATTCAGCTTCACAAACCAGTGTGACAAGGTGCATTACCTGCAGCAGTTGTTAGTGAGTCTGCTGTACTACCTCTTACTGTACTACTTAATATCACAGCCGTTTCAAATCAACTGAGGTACATAGTGTAGGAGTTACATGTGACTGTGCTGATTAATAAAGATTGAAAGCATTCTCTGCATGTTGTGGACTTTTTGTTTAGTATATGACACCCACTTGAGTTGTAGAATCTCATTTTGGCTGGGGCACTAGTCAAGACAAAAATTACAAAACACTTAAGGAAAAAGAAAACAGCATACACTTCACATACACAGAGACATACAGCTCTCTTACAGCTGTTTACAAGAACAATTGGCGACAGTGATCCCTGGATAATAAATCAAATACAGGTATTGTACAGGTAAATCAGCACAAATGCACAAATAAAAAAAAATAAACATTGATTTATGAGAGAATAAGATTATTCTAAATGTAAAAACAGCTTTATATCAAACTGACCTGGGTCCAGGGAATAGAAAAATAATTGACATATGTCTGCGTGGATATGAAGATAATTAAGTGTCACAGAGGGGAGTATGAGGAAGGAATATACAACCCAAATACTTACCATTAAGCAGAGCTAACAGCTTAGGGATTTAACGATTCAATACGTTACATGGGCTTAGGAGCACGGGTAACAAGTCCCAAAAGAAAGCCCTGAAAGTCAACAGGTGAACCGGAAAGGAGCAGGTATCAGGTATCAGAGGCTGGAGTAAAAACAACCTTTCACTGAAGGGGGAAAAGGGGCTGGTATGTTTTCCTGCAAGGCTAACCTGTTAAGCCCCGAGCCTGTTTTTCAGGTTTCAGGCTCGAAAATGACATGCCCAAAACAAATGACTACAACTTCACTTCTAAAAGGGTTATATGAATAATTTCTTTTATCAAAGCAAGGTTACATCTGTGAGTTGGATGTAGAAGTGTCAGAATCAATATAGATTTTTCTCAGTCAGAGTAAATTCAGATGGAACATAGCAAAAAAAGGTAAATTCTTACCTCCGCCTAAAGAAAAAACATTACTTATAGTGAAAACCACCCTTGAATGATGGGATGGTAGACTAAAAGCTTTAGGAATCCAAAGTATAACATATAATAAGTACCCTGTATCAAGACTGAGGCAAAACAAGTGAAATGTGACCTTTTTCCAGGCGGAATAAGCTTTGGGCACATTTGGGTATATCTGGTTCCATCAGTGCCATTTGACCTTTTTCAGGTACCAGACTATAAAAATGGTGTATTACATTGAATTATCACCATAGGTATTCATTCCATCCAAAGAAAAAAAAAATAAATAAAAAATTTAATTTGTGAAAAAAAAAGGGCCCGCCGACGGGGTCTTTGGGGCTTAACAGGTGTTAACAACATGGGAAGCAGGTGTGTGTGGAAGGTCAGGTGACGGGAAAAGCGGGAGGGTAAAGCGTTCATATTATACATCCATGGGGTAAAGTAGTCTTTTTTTATATTGGAGGCTTCTAAAAAAGAATGTCGAAATACTATACATTCAAACTTTTCCTAAGCAAATGTACACTAGTATTTTCAATAAAAGTACATATAGTTTTAATCTAATGATACCCATTGTGCAGAATGGCCCCATTTCAGAGTAAAAGGCTAGAATTATTGAATTATTTATAAGGAATTAATGTGGTTTTCACTTAAATGCTGCTATAAATTAATTTATTTCTGTGTATCTTGTCAATTTCAATACACTAGTTTTATCTTAATCTATAATTCATAACATCATTATTTAGTTGATTATATTTTGTAGAATTATAATGTATCTGCGAAGTAGACTACCTTTAGTTTTTCAATAAAAGTTATAAAGACAGTAAGAGTTAAATATTTAAGCATAAAGCACATAATTCAATGTTTAAAAATGTATAATATAAAAAAAGACTATACAAGATGTGTTAGTAGCTCAAATAGACACAATAAACTCCAACGGCACTGTTTACCAGGAACTATAATCTTTATTTTTTAAAACAATAAAACATACAACACTTTATGAAAATAAATACATCCAACAAATCTGAGGATCTGAGGAATCTCACATTGTATTACAAGTATTTTCCATTGGAGGCATGATTGTTTTTTTGATATTGAAATGTAATTTCAAGTAATCCTTTACATTTGGCACAAACAGACGTTTACAGTGATGAGACAGGACGTTGAGGGAACCATGGAGGAGGAAGAAGATTTCAAGCATGATATATGAAAAAACAACAAATTAGGTACAAAATGAACTGAAAAAAGGGGTGTGTTTATGTTACTGTAAATGGAGATGCACATGAAGCCTCCCCTCTGTTTGCAGGCAGATAACAACCTGGGTCATTTTAAAGTCACTGCTGATCTCAGATAAAAGTGCAGAAATACATACATACGAGTCCCTTTAATCTAGTTATCTCAAAAGGCAGACATTAAAGGTTTCAAAAGGTTTCACTTTTGAATGTAGGGGGGTCAAATCAAAAACATAATAAAGGAGTTTAAGACATCCCTTTATCCCATTATTTAGCTATTGTAACTCAGCCTTTCAAATAATCAATCAACATGATATGTGTATAGGTTTACCTCTTGTCCACTATCACACTGTAGTCGTGAAACATTCTTGGACATTCAACTCCATTTTAAAAAGGGAATCGTTTAATATTTTGGGGACTACGCTTATTTGCCTTCTTGCTAAGAGTCAGTTGAGAATATAAACGCTAAATATGACACTACTCTCGGCAGCTGGTTAGTTTAGCTTAGCATAAAGCTTTGCAGAAAGTCTGTAAACGTGGGGAAACAGCTAGCCTGGCTCTCAGTTCCTTTAAAGCTTAACCAACTTACCGCGCGTGGTTTCCCAACTCATCTACCTCTCGGCAAGAACACGCTTATGTCCTTGGAAATCAAACCATCCTTTAAATATGTGCGCTGAAGTTTCTTCATTTCCTATGGTGGTCTAAAACCTTTTCCTTTGTAGGCAATCTGCAACAGATCAATACATTTTTTAAATAATTCTTCTGGAGGTGATTGCATACGGTTTATTGTGTGGATGTGCAGAGCCGGTTGCTATTACTAAAATGAAGATCGAGTATTTGTCTTACAAATGAATGTAAGAATTCATACATTCATTGCAGGTGAACTTGCACTATTTTCTGTAATAGTGTCAAACACTGAACACGAGGTCTTCATGGTAACAGTGTTAAAGGTCATTGTGCGCTTTGTTTGAATATTAAGACTGATAGTATGTCTGATATGCAGGTATATTGAGGAAAAAACACATCAATGCAAAGTGTTGTAGGTACAATTTAAAGCCAGTCTGGGGAGGGGTCCTGCACTGAAACGGGACAGGCAGGTGAGAGCAGAGGAGAGGGAGAGTGGAGGGAGGTGTAAACCAGTTAGATTTTTCCTGAGAATGCATCCAGATCGAACGCTGCGTCCACCAAGCGCTGCAGCTCCGTGAGATGAGTCTTTTTGTTTCCAGTAGCTGGAGCTGCTGCAGGGTCACGACCAGCATACCTGCAAACATACACACACACACACACACACACACACACACACACACACACACACACACACACACACACACACACACACACATATAAGTGTCCATACATTCAAAGCAGAGATAGTTCCTGAAACTGTATTCCTGTAGAACTCACCAAACGGGGCGGGTATGGTTGGTGGTGGTGCAGATGCGGGGCTTGACGTAGTCGTGGTAACCCTGGTTCTTGTGCTCTTCCTGACACCACACCAGGTCAGCATTTGAGTAACGATCAGTCTCTGCTTTCACCAGATCAAACGGGAAGGGGGAGAGCTGAAAACAGAGAGAAAGGTCTGATGTTAATTATATATTTGGGCGATGATCCATTGTCATTCCCATTGGGGGATATGGGGGACAAATGTTAGTTAGCATTAGCGGTTTGCTACAACTTCATTCGTAAATTGTCAGCATTAAATGTGTGCTAAACTACGATTTCCCAGCTAATTTGTTTGATTTACTCACAATGTAAACCAGAGATGAACTATTTCTATATCTTTAGAAAGTGAAAGTTAAGACCCCAAAAACAGAATAAATCATTTACAATTGTGATCATTAGTCTTGACCGAAATACTTGTATGTCACAAGTGAAGGTGCCTATACAAACCAGGCACATACACCACCTCCAAAACAGTTTTTGTTGTAAAACTGAAATCCATACACCCACTGTGCGTTCCCTTTCCCAATTTCTCCTCTCCTTTTAACTCTACGTATAAACACCACCTGTACTCTTTTGTTACCTGTTCGATGCGGATCACAGCCACAGTGTCGTCCATGCCTCTGCTCTTGCGTTCTCGGGTCAGTTCATAATAGATCTTCCCGCTGCAGAAAACGATTCTCTTCACCTTTTCTGGGCTGGCAGCTGCAGGCCCCTCGTCTGGGATTAGTCGTTTGAAGATGGTGGCTGCAGGATATAACAAACACACACAAACTTTAAATAACACAGCAAGAAACCAACCAGTATTTTAGAGGGAAACACCTCACCATCTTCAGTTTCCTGCCCATCTTTCTGTCAGTACTGACCTGGCAGCATGTCATCAAAGCTGGACTTGGCCTCAGGATGGCGCAGCAGCGACTTGGGAGTAAACACTATCAGCTAAAGAAAGAGCACAGGGAAATGCTCAGTGACCTTGAACCACATTATCTTGTGCTTTGAGTCCGTTTAAGGTGTGTCACTCACAGGTTTCCTGAAGGGCTGCAGGATCTGTCTGCGGAGGACGTGGAAGTAGTTCGCCGGAGTGGAGCAGTTCACCACGATCCAGTTGCAGTCGTACAGCTGATGCACTGCGAAGTTCTCAGTGATTTTCTGTGAGAAAAAGTAGAGTTGCAATTCAGAGCTAAGGTAGAACTCATTACCAAAGAAACATGCAGTCACCTGTTAATATTCTTTGTCTTTTCTTTCTTTTCAGGGATAATCATTCTGTTCATTTTAGAACTACCCTAACCCTAACCCTTCAATTCTTAGCCTATTTGGTTCACATTTTGAAAAGTAGGATGAACTCTATAAACTCTCCAGTCATAAAGTTGCCAGGCTCCACATCTGATCATGAGGTCAAACAAACTTCCGTGCAACATCAGACAAACAAGGAAAGTCATCTCACTATCTACACCTCCATGATTTT